TACAGATGGGCTTTGGGTCTGCACGCCGCACTCCCCCTCATTCACAATGATACGATTTTTTGTTCTGATGATGCCTGATACCTGATGCCTTCAACACCCCATGATCACACAGGCTGGTGTGCTTCTTCCATGTGTGCTTTGTTGCTTCTGAGCTAGATGGCCGCATGTTTACGCAAGCCTTTTAAGACCCCAGACGCTATATCTTTTGATAGCCGGGCACCATCAGCTTTCTTCACCACATTAGCTTATGCACCCGCTCAAAGCCCTGTTTTATGGAAGTATTTTATAGCTGTATTATATATGTAAAGTATTAGCGGAATCCATGTAGTTATTTTTAAGGACTGTGCAATCCAGCATCTTAAGGAAGTTTTTTTTCACACCCATGTTTGAATTTGAGAACAGTAGGAATGCATGTAAAAAGGTTTTCAACCAGGTACTGATGTGGTTTGCCTTGAGTCGAGAAGTTGGACAGCGCTCAAAACTAAAAACCAAACTCAGTGCCATCAACTTGATTCCGACTCATAGGGATCCTATAGGACAGAGTCTATAGAACTCCCCTGGATTCTGAGACTGGAACTCTGCAGGAGTAGGAAGCCCTGTCTTTTTCCCGAGGCACAGTTGGTGGTTTTTCACAGCTTACCGTGCAGATCTCAGCCCAATACATGACCACCATGCCACCGGGGCTCCTCTGGACCGAGCGAGGTAAGGTTGATTTGCAGTTGCAGACAGCATGGGTGTCAGCCTGTGAAAGCTTTTGGTTTTATCTCAGGGCCACCCTGGAGAAAAGAGGGGATAGCTGAGAGGGTTCAGGTTTCTCAGCGTGAGTGGGAGCTATCAGTGCCACATGCTGGATGATTAAGTCCTTCTCCATCCAATCCCGACACTTGGCGATTCTGTAAGACAGTGGAGCTGCCCCAGAGGGTTCTCATGGTCTCATGGCAGCGCTCTTTACCAAAGCTGACTGCCACGTCTGTTGCTCACAGAGTACTGGTGGGCTTGAGCCACCAAATTAGATTAAAGGCTCAAACTTAACCACTGCATCTCCAGGGTTCCTACGATGCTGCACAGAGACATGTGTTCAGGTACTGGGACTTAGGACTCTTGACCACCAGGTCAGCAGCTCAGAGCCCCCCAGTCTCTCTCCGAGAGAACGATGAGGCATTCTGCTCCCCAATAACAGCCCCAGGAAGCCCACAAGGACAGTTCTGGCTTGCTCTATAGGGTAAGTATGGGTCAGGATCCACTCGATGCCAGTGAATTAATGTAAGACCATGTGGAAGAGGGAGAAGTCGGGGGAGAGGAGCCTGACCCTATGGACCTCATAGAGTGTGGGGGACATCTTGCCCACTGCCCACTCTCCCTGGCAGGTACTGCCTCTCTCTCAGGTGGCCCGCTGCCCCTCCTTGTGCCAAGGCCATCTTCCTCTCTCCCGGGATTGCTCTAGTTATTGTTCACTTGGCTCTTTTCAGCCTTTTTTCCCTTTAAGGCAAGTGGGGTCGCATCAGCCCCTTCTTCAAACCTTTCAGAGCAGCACTTGGCCACCTCCCGCCCCAGGTGGCTTCGCGTGGTCTGGCTGCATCTCTGCTGTCTCTTGCTCCCTGCGTGCAATCACACTGCGTGCTTCCCTCCTGTCTAGGCTGTGTGTCTGTAGTCTTCCACCTTCCTTCACCATTCCCCACACTGATCCCTACTCCGCCTGCCCCTTCTAACCTACTCTCTAGCTCTACAGGGAGCTGCCTATCTCCCACGTCCAGTGTAGGACACTTCTGAGACCGTGTGGGTCTCCCTTCGAATCCTCATCCTCATGATGCAAGAACCCGCCCTCATAGAGTGGCCACTTAACCAAGCTGTCCTCCATTCCAGGGAATTCACTTTCTGGGGAAAAAGAGGTGTGTCTAATTGGACTCCTTGCCAGATTCCCAGCACCTCACTCAGGGTCTGCCTTAGCCATTTGCTAAGCCAACTTTTGGTTCAAAGGTAGCTGTGGAGCGATTTGGGTGGCTTCCCGCTGGTGTCTCCCTATGGTGTGACTCGGCTATCCGTGTGCTTCCCCTCCTCCCAGGCTGGTCCGCTGCCCTCTGCACCGCCTCCTGCCATCTTTCTCAGCTTCCTGTTTTTCTTTTCTTCCTTTTCCCATTATATTTGCTCGTGTTCTAAAGAAATCACTCAGTTAAATTGCCCAACCCTGTGGTTTTTAGTGTCTTCCCAGAGGTGACAGCCACGGAAGAATTTCCAGAAGAGGCGTCCTCTTCAGAGACAGGTCCTCCATACAGAGATAGAGGTCAGCAGCTGCCCAGGATTGGTGGCTGGGCTGCTGAGGGATGGGAAGTCAGTGCGAAAATGACAGTCAGTCAGCACTGATGACTTGTGCTTTTGATGTTATATGTAAGAAGGACCTTTTCCTGTTTTGAACCTAAGATTTCATTCTTTGGTTATCCTGAGTTTGATAGTTTGAGCTCTTGGTTTCAGGATCTATGACTTGATTTTTGGGTGTGGTGTGAAGTAGAGGTCTAAGTTCATGCGTCTGCATGTTGAGATCCAGCTGTCCCGGAACCATTTACTGAAGACGATTCTTTGCCCACTGAGTGTCCCTGCCATCCTTGTCAGTGCTCGCAACTCTATCCCGAGCTGCACCTCTTCGTCCTGTGCTTTTCATTTAGATTAGCACCTGAGGGCTTATTTTGTTAAGTCAATCTGTTAGGCCAACCCTGTTGGGCATAGCTCTTCTCTAAATCAGTGGGTCAGTCAACAAGTAGCTCTTCAGCATCGTGTTTGTCGAATATTCCAACAATGACAGAGTCGTGAGCTACTCGTGCGATATAGTGCAGAGTGCATTTCGGAGTTTGTAGATAAAGCTTACTTAGTTTTGCAGACCTCTTGTTATCAAAAAACAGTCATTTGAAGACCAAAGTGTAAAAAACTCCGGTCTTAAAAGGCAGTTACTGTTGATTCCACTTTTACTGTGGTTCAGGAAGAGAAACTTCTGCAGTCCAGCTTACATACGTGTATGTGCTGTGTC